GTTGGTCTATGGCCTTATCAGCAATCTAAACTCGTTCGACTTCAAATAATTTTACTTTTTGGAATTTTAGCAACTTTTATTATTTTTCAGGTACGTTAATATTTTTAATTGTACAATTATGTATCAAATAAAATTAAATTTTAATACTTAGAAATCTTCCACATTGGGAATAAATATAAATAAATAGAAAGTGCTACATAATTTAATCATAGACTATATACATATAATTCAATTGTAATGTTATTATTACAATTTTTCTGAATGCAGTAATTTATTTTACAGTTAAAATCATCTGATATTACAATTAAACATATTACAATAAAAATTAAACATTTTTAATTTCTGTACAGATTTTTTATATTAAATTATCATGCAAAAAGAAACATCGATGATTTATGACTAATAATTTTTCAACAAAAAACTAAAATTTCAATAAAATTTGTCGTAACAAAATATTTTTTACAGTTTACAGTATTAGTGACTTTAGAATGTACTTCTGATTTACTTATCAATGTTCTCTCTTCTGCATTGTTTTACATTATTTTTGCAATTAAATACTTTACATTTAGTATTAATACTGAAGTAGTAAGTAAAATGATTTTTAAATATATATTATGTACTATGCTTATATACGGATAAATATTTTTAAAATATACTTTTCAATATACAACTAATATAATTACTTGATCAAAAGAAAAAGATATTTAAAATAAAATCTTGTTAATACAATAGATTAAATATTTATTGGAGCAACTGCAGCATACCTACGACGAGTTAACTGACAAAAACGAAATCAGTATCATCAAAAAGTACGGTATTTATGCGAAACGGTACACGATTGCATTATTGTGTAAGCCAATTGCTTTTGATACGTACAATTTACATTATATTTGCAAACTAATCAGCAAGTTTATAATGGATTTAATTATCAAGTAAAATAATTTTTAACGGATTTCAGGGATAATCATATTCAGTATAGCCGCTTTCCTTTTGTACTTCTTCTGGCCATATATTTGCAATAGTCTATTCTCCGTAAACAAGACTCGAACGCGCCCTTCGTTTCCACTTAAGACCGAATATTTCATCGATCAAGAAAAATACTTCTATTGGATATTATTCCATGCGAACATAGCCTTTGTCATAGGAATTATCGCAATGTTAGCAATAGGAACAATGCTCATAGTTTATCAACAGTATGCGTGCGGAATGTTTCAAATCGCCAGGTAAGAAAATAATTATGTATAAAAACAAATATGAAATATTTGGAATCGTCAGGTTTGAGAAGAAAATAAATATAAAACCGATAGATATGAACAATATTCTGCAAGATCGCAAAATTTGAGAAATAATATAATATAAATAATGATCAAAAAAATTGATTACAGTTATCGTATGTCACGAGCGATAACGTTCGTAACTCAACAACAGAAAAGCTTGCAGGACAAGAATTTGACTTACAAGAGAATAATTTGTGCCATAGATATGCATCGCAAAGCTATGAAGTTGGTATATATGCAATAATAATGTATCTCTAATTATTGCCATAATACATATGTATAACGTACACGCACATACGTACATATAATACTCTCTTTCTATTAAAGGTTCATCGACTCGTTTGTATATAAGTTTAAAGTAATGTTCTTCTTTTTGATCGTAGTCGGAGTGATTTGCGGAAGTCTCAATTTTTTTCGGGTACTGACTTCTTCTATTTTAAATATATGTATATGTATACTTATAAATAACAAAATAAATTACTATCAGTAATTATCAGATTTTCGTAGATATTTCTTGTTAATTTATTTCATATCATTTTGTTTTTCCTGAGATCTTGAACGCGCTTGTATTTTAGGTCTTTCAAGTGATCTCGTTTGAATACGATATTATGGGATTATCGTTACCCATGATATTTATTACAGTCCAATTTGTATATATGATAATGTGCAACTATTTGGCGCAAGAAATTATAAATCATAATGATGATATATACATCTCCGTGTACGGAAGATATTCAGATAATATTGTCATACATATCCGTCCTATGGAATATTGCAATAATAAATACTAATATTTAATTAAAAAACAAAAATGCACATGTGGTAAAAATTACTCTCAATTTTTTTGCCTTCCTTTAATCATCAATTTATGTTATGATACAGATATGCCATTCAATGGTACATAGCTCCGTTGGACGTTCAGAAGATGATACTGTTTGTATTGCAAAGGGGTACTAAGGCGTTCAATATAGAAATTGCTGGAATGTTTGTGGCATCATTACAAGGTGCAGCTACGGTAAAACACATATTTATATATTAAATAATATAGTGTTTGAAACACATGGAAAAATATAAAAGTCCATTTTTTATTATAGTTAATGAGTACTGCAATATCCTATTTTACTGTCCTTTACTCAACGAGGCACGCAAATACTAACTAGAAATATAGTAAAATAATACATAGACATTAATTATAAAAATAATATTGTCAATTATTTTAAAAGAAACATAGTTGATATATTAGATAAATAAAACCGGTTATTCATGTAATATAATTACAAGCGCATATTTATTGTATTATTAATCAATATAATAAAAACTACAATTAATGTAATTTGTATTTTACTTTTAAAAAAAGTAAAACAAACGTGTGGTAAATTAATTCACAAGTTCTTTTTGATATTTCTCAATTGTTAATTCGTTATAACGAAGAAACGCAGCATTCAGTACGCATCACCGTTACAAATATAAAAAATGGTATTAATTTTTGTTGCAAAGAAGTACGAAGTGTTCAATATGAATACTGCAAGCCTGTTCGTGAAATCGTTAGAAGATAAGAAAAATATTTTTTAAAATATAAATTAAACATAATATACATTTTAGACGGAGGAAAATAAAAAAAGTCATGTCTTCTTACAGTTATTGAGTGCCGCAGTATCAAATTTCACCGTTCTTCATATTCAACGCGAAATTAATGTAAAACAGATTAATTAATAATGCATCAATTAATAGTGGAATAACAATAGTGAAGAGACTAGTTAAATACAAAGTGCATACTTTAATCTGTAAGAAAACGCAGTTTGATTGTTGATTAATAACATCTACAGAATTAAAAGTAAATATTATTCCACCCAAATGCGGCCTTTGCCATAGGCGGTATCACAATGCTAGTGGCAGGAAACAATACTCATAATTTATCATCAGCACACGTGCGGAATGTTTCGAATCGTCAGATAAGGGAATAAATAGAAAAACAAATATAAATAATTTAAAAAATCAAAAAATTGGAAAAATTATATAATTATGATGGAAAAATTGATTGCAGATATCGTATAACACGAGTAATCACATTTAAAACTCCATAAAAAAAAAGCGTACAGAACGAAAATTTGATTTACAAGAAAATAATTTGCGCCGTGGATATGCATCGCAAAGCTCTGAAGTTAATATTTATGCAATAATAATATGTGTATTTCTAAATAATTGTCATGATACATGATACATGTAATGTACAGTCACACGCATGTATATGTAGGTACATATAATACTCTCTTTCTATTAAAGATTTCACGTCTCATCTATATCTAGATTTGAAGTAATGTTCTTCTTTTTGATAATAGTCAGGGTGGCTTGTTCAACTTTCAATTACTTTCGAATAAATACTGATTATTATTTTTAAATATATTTATAAATAACAAAATAAGTTTACCATCAGGTTTTCATAGACATTTCTTGTTAATTTATTTCATACTATCGATGTCGGTTTTCCTCAAGATCTCAAATGCTTATATTTTAAGTCTTTCAAGTAAAGATTGATTATGATATTGGGAAAATATCTTTTTCTGTAATATTTATTATTGTCCAAGGGCGATATGCGCCAATGTGCAACTATATGGCGAAAGAAGAAATTATTATAATAATATATACATTTCCATTACGAAAGATATTCGGATAATATTATCACACATATCCGTCTTACGGAGCATTGCAATAATACGCTGTTATTTAATTAAAATCAAATATGTACAGTCGTGGTCAGATAGATTACGGCACTTTTTTTATAGATTTCTAATATATATTTAATAAGATCGTATATATTTTATAGGTAACTAATATATTTTGCAAATGCGAACTACGATGTACTATCTTTAGAGATAGCATAACACCAATCGTGATTCGCATTTGCAAAATAGTGCGTTTTGAAACCTATGAAAAAAGTGTCGCAACCGATCTGTACACGAATGTACATGTGGTAAAAATTATTCTCAATTTTCTCTTGCCTTTCTTTAATCGTCAATTCATGTTACGGCACAGGTACGCCATTTAATAGTACTTTCAACACGGCTCCGTTGAAAGTTCAGAAGATGACTGTTTCTATTGCAAAGAAGTATCAATGTACAAATTGCTGGAGTGTTTGTGACGTCGTTAGAAGGTGCAGCTACGGTAAAGACATATGTATTAGCTTATATGTCAAATAATACATGTTTAAAACAGGAAAGATAAAATTAATTATTCGTATAATAAATAAGTCATAATCGATATATTGAAACGTAAAAACTGATCATCTATCACTTCTCTGAAGGATCAAAATGAAACTTATGAGTTCAAGAACTACAAAACGAATGACTAAGTACGCTACTGAAAATTGCCAAATACGCCTGCGCGACTTTTTGTCAGAGAATTTAGAAGTATTTTTCTATAAGAAATCAACATGCGTTCAATTATCTTATATCGCTTCATATATATTACTGACTTATTCACAAATAAAATTGTTAAATTGCGCGTGTTCCGCTCTCGTGGTAATATTTCGTTACATTTTACATGACGTTAAATTAGATAATTTACATTAAAATTTGAGAACATCAAAGAAAATAGAGCAATAGAATATCAGATGAATCGAGAGAAGAAAATAAACTGATCTCGCTGTCACACGCATCTGCATGCACGTGAAGAAATGACCTGCATCGACCTTTTACATATTAGCCTAAATCGGTTTTTGTTACTCACAGTTGGTCTATGGCCTTATCAGCAGTCTAAACTTGTTCAACTTCAATTAATTTTGTTATTTAGTATTTTGGCGACATTTATCTTAGCTCAGGTATGTTAATAATTTTAGTTTATTAATAATTACGAAAAATAAAATGTTTTTGCAACTTTTCACTGCATTTTAATATAAATTAAAATCATTATGAGATCATCATAATATTATAAATATTATCAATATTGTTTTTACAACATGTGTATGTTATGACATATAAGAAATTTTAATTTCTAATTTCGCTTAACTATATAGATTTTTTCATATCAAATTATGATATATTAAAAAACAATTAAGATCTTTCGCTGGTTGGATGAGTAAATAATAATTTCAATACAAACCTCATCGTATAAAAAATTTCTTTTACAGTTTGCAGCATTTCTGACTTTACAATGTACTCCTGATCTTTTCATCGATATTGTCGCATCTGCATCTATTTACCTTATCTTTGCTGTTAAATATAGTTCATTTAGGATTAATATTGAAGTCGTAAGTAAAACAATAGGTACTATCTAGTGACTAGTCATCTAATTCATAATTCAATCCAATCTATTGGATGGACAATCAGAAAATTCCTGAAATTTATTCGTTGTTATTTTATGATAAACAGAAAAATAAATTAAACACTACACAAAAAAAGATCTGTTATAATAATTGAAAAATTTCAATAACTTAAAAATTAAACTTTAAAAATGAAATACATATGATATTTAACGTTAATAATTATAATTGTTTATAATTACTTTTTCGAAGAATCCAGATAAATTTCTTTCATGGAAATGCATGTTCGTATCGAAATTTCGGTCGTGTTCAGATATGCACTGTCAGTAGTAAAAATCTATAGTATGCGTAAAGTAAACTATAGATGTTCAGTATTTGCAGTGTATATCTCGGAGCACAGCCTTTCTAAATGTAATTATTTAAATTTTTACATTTCGTATAAAGTTTATTTTTACATGTTCATAAATGGATACTCCTTTTGTACAATATGCAGATAATGATAATAAAATTGTTCTGCAGTGTAATGTTAAAGTTATTTTATTTTGTTGACTAATTACTTAACAGCTGTTCACCTTCTATTCTCAAACGTCATGCAATATATTATGTATTATGTTAAAATATGAATTACTTTTCAAAAATAAATATTTCTGAAAACTAGTTCTTTCTTTATACAATACAAACACAATTCCTTTTAAATAAAAAAAATAGTATATATAATACTATTAAAACAGGTAAAATATTTGCTGGAGCAATTGCAGCATATATGTAACGAGCTGACTGACAAAAATGAAATCAATATTATAAAACAGTATGCTATCAATGCGAAACGTTATACGATTGCGCTTATACGTAAGACTACTGCTTTTGATTTTTTGTAAACATTTTAAACACAAATTGTATATTATATTTGGAAAATCTAAATGGTGAGTTTGTAATAAATTTTTTTATCAAAAAGATTAATTTTTAAACATTTTTCAGTATTAATTATATCGGGTGCGTTCATTTTTATTTTAAACCCAATTTGGTCCGGTTTTTTTGACATCTTATTGCCTATAAATAAAACTCAATCACATCGTTCGTCAGCATTTACGACAGAATACTTTGTCGATCATAAAAGATACTTCTACTTAATATCCTTCCACGCAAACGCGGCTTTTGTCATAGGAATTATCGCAATGTTGGCACCAGGAACAATACTCATAGTATACCTACAGCATGCCTGTGGAATGTTTCGAATTGCCTGGTAGGAGAATAAATATGAAAACAATAATGAGTAAAAAATTTGTACAAAAATCTGAAAAAATTAGAGAGACCATTTAATTATGCTAGAAGAATTATTTGCAGTTATCGTATTGCACGAGCAATGACATTCGAAGCTCTACGAGAAAAAGGCTTACAAAACGAGAATTTGATTTACAATGGATTAATCTGTGCCGTGGATATACATCGCAAAGCTATGAAGTTGGTACTTAAGCAATAGTAATAAGCAATTATATATGTATATTTATAATAATTATGATAGCATAATAAAGTACGTATACATAGTCATATTTGTCTTAATAAAAGATTAATATGATCATTTATTTGAAGATTTTCTGACTCGGCAGTATCTAGATTTAAAGTAATGTTCTCGCTTTTGATAATAATCGGTGTGATTTGCGGGAGTCTTAATACTTTTCGGGTAAATACTGCCTTCCTTTTATTAACATATATACGAATAACAATAATGAGATTAGTTATGATCATATTTTCATGAAGACAATTCTAATTAATCGTTAATTCGTTTCAATTTGATTGAATTTTTATGATAATCATAAAAATGTCCTTATATACTTTAGATATTTCAAATGGCATCCTTTGGATTCGATCTTGAAGAACTTTCATTACGATTAATATTTCTCATCATTCAGTTATGTTATATGTTTATAGGCAATTATCTTGCACAAGAAGTTATAGATCACAATAATGATGTATTTGTCGCTGTGTAAGGAAAATATTTACGTAATATAATTATATGCACGTATTCATTGTATAAATCAATATAATAAAAAACACTCGTAATATAGTTTAGAAAACGTGTGATAAAATTATTTTGTACCTACATTTTTTTAATATTTCTTAATTATCAATTATAACGTAGGTACAACGTTCGATGGTATGTAGCTCCGCTGCAAATACAAAAAATGATACTGTTTCTTTTACAAAGAGGAACTAAGACGTTCACTTTGAATATTGCTGGATTGTTTGTAGGATCACTAGAAGGTGCTGCTACGGTAAGAAAATATAAAATATAAATAATAATAATAATAACAAATAAATATCAATAATAAAATATAAGTATTTCTTTGGAAATGTGTTTAATGTAAAATGTATTTCAGAAAAAAAATTTGTTAAGTCATATTTTATTACAGTTGTTGAGTACTGGAATATCGTTTTTCACCGTTCTTTATTCTACGCGGAATTAACTGGAAAAACAAGTTAACTAAACTAGTACAACGGAATAATTAAAAAACTAATTAGTCATAACACTTATTACATGCCATAATTTAAAAAGACATTGAATTTATTAATAATTTCGATAAAATTGCAAGAAATGTTAATTTAAAAAATAAACGTGTTTAAAATAACGGTGTTAGTAGTAAATTATTAATAAATTAATAGATTCATCACATCAATATATGTGATCTAAGCGATTGCTTTTCTAAATAATCCAACATAACTTACGAACGCACGCATCACGAAACAAAAGAAACATGTCATTGCATTACTGAAAATTAACGAATGTTTGCGTGATTTTTGTCGGAAAATATATGTATAAATATTTTTTATAACAAATAAACATTCATTCAATTTTTCATGTTGCATTGACCGCTTAACTGCCAATCGAATTTTTAGCATTCAACTTTAAAAGATATTTCTTATTAATAATAATTTATAATTTAAATCTAAATTTTTACTTCGTAAGTTATATAAGTTTTCTGCTTAGTTCTTAATATTATTCAAATGAATTGTGTATAGATCAGCGTATAAAATTCAAATTCGAAGAATTCGTACACAAAAATAAAAAATATGATCAAGAAACTACAAAGATTATTAAGTACAAATGCTAATTCGTCAAAATTGATAATGTTACAAAAGATACAATAGGTTAACATGCAAGAACGAAAACGTGAGTACTTTTATTTACTTACTGATATTAGCAGAGAATGCAGAATTTTTTACTTACAATTAGATGCTACACATTTAATGAGCATTGATAATTTCTACATCACACTTTACAGCATCTTTTACTTCGCGGGAAGTAATAACTTCTCACATGATTCGTATCAACTTCCGAAACAATTCGACCGATGCTTCTAAAAGCTCTAACGTATCCTATACGACTGCACGCACGGGAATGAAACGCGTAAAGCAACATCGCCGGAATCGAGCGAATTGCGCTTGCGTAGACTTGAATAAAGAAATGAACCTTATGTGTGTTTTGCTGTGTGAAATAAACAGCTGCTGAATTTCATTCGGTGTCAAATCGATCGTCTCTCTCTCTCTCTCTCTCTCTCTCAACAAAATTGTCAAAGTAATTGTCGTGTTCTCACGACAGTATTTTACATTATAATTCACATTTGTTAAATTAGGCTATAGCATATATCGCTTTTTAGAATTTAGCGTAAAAGAAAATTTCAGAATTATATTCAATTGTTCGGAAAGAGGGGATACGCAGAACTTTGTCGTCTCTTTTGCAATCAAATGTGTTTCAATGCTTAACGAGAGATGATTTTTGTTCCGACCCAATATTTTAGCCTTAATCGAATTCTTCTACTCGCCATTGGCTTATGGCCGTACAAGCAATCAAAACTTATTCGACTTCAATTAATTTTGCTTTTTAGCATTTTGACGAGCTGCATTATATTCCAGGTATATCAATATTTTTAATCGTTTTATTATGCAGTAAATTACTATATTATTTAAAATTAATTATTTAATATTAAATATATTATTAAATTATTTAATTTATTATTAAATAAATTATTTAATTATTTGATATTAATTTAATTTTTAATATTAAATATATATATATATATATAATGTATATTATGTCATTTTATAATATAATTTAATTATATTAAAACTACAATTATATAAAAGCGATATATACTACTATTACAAGATTATCATTTATAAAATAAGCAACTGACTATTTTATATAATATTATCTTAGATTAATTAATTGTTACTTAAATCGTTATTCAAATAAAAAAAACAATTTTATTAATAAAAGTTTTTCAATAAATTTGTTAATTGTAGATTACAACATTTTGGACCACAGAATACACATTTGATCTTGCCATCAAAATCTTTTCTTACATATCACTTTTTATTTCATTTATAATTAAATATAATTCGTTTTTGATTAACACTCAAACTGTAAGTAAGATTTTTACTCGTTCATTATAAATAAATTTTTATAATCTTTCCCATATTTCACTTATAATTAAAATATTTTCAATATAATAGATCAAGTATTTAATGGAGCAACTGCAACAGATTTATAATGAAATAAAAGATGAAAATGAAATTGCCATTGTAGAAAAATATGGACGTTATGCGAAACATTATACAATTAAAATGATACGTAAGATAAAATTTATTGATTTTTTTTATTTGTCGCGCAATAAAAAATAGATTACAATTTCCTCTTATAAAAATTAAATAATAAGTCACTTCGCTGCTTTACACTTATATATTGAATGTTATATTTTTATCAAAATATGTAATATAATGAAAATACACATACACACAATTATCTTATTTTTATTATTATTATTATTATTATACTTAAAATGGAAAAATTAAAAATATTAAAAAAGTAGAAGCAGAAACATACAATTTTTTGCAAGAATATACGGCAGTAATTAGAAGATAAATAAATTTATAAAATATAAAAGAAATCAATCTTTCGATAAATTAAACGTAATAATTTAAGAATATTTTCGAAGAATATTCTTCCGCAAGATTATTATATACTTCTTCTATATACTCTTCTAATACTTCTTCATTTGTTTCTTTTTTTTACTATTTTATATAATGGCATATTCCCAATATGTCTACATATACGTATATGTACATACATGCATTATAATTTGTTTACAAACAGCAAAATATGATTGTTTTTTTAAATATGCTCAGAGATTGCATTGTGCAGTACATTTACTATTGCTTTCGTGGAATTGTGGCCACATATTCTCAATATCGTTGTGCCCATAAATGAATCTCGACCACATATCACAATGCCCTTCGTGATTGAATACTTTATCGATCAGGAAAAGTATTTCTATTTAATCTTGCTACACATAAACGCAGCTACTTGTATAGGAGCAATTGCATATATAGCAACAGGAACGATGCTCGTAAGTTATCTTAAACATGCCTGTGGAATGTTTAAGATTGCCAGGTAAGAAAAAGAATACATAAAATGTATAAAAAAAGATGTTTTTATAAATAGAATTATTTGTCGTCTAAAATATAAAGAAAGACTTTACAGTTACAGCAAAATTATTATTTATAGCTATCGTATCGAACGAGCAATGATGGTCAATATTATAAAAAATAACACGGAGAATGAAATTATAACTTATAAAGCAATGATTTGTGCCGTCGATATTCATCGTAAAGCAATGAAGTTAGCAATAATACGTATACAGAGTGTAGCTTAAATAGCTCTCATTAATTACAAAGCATTATTCTTTGAAGCGATCATTACTGCAGTAATTACTTCATTGAGCATTATAAGACAAAAATGATTCAGGACTTTTCGACACAGTTTTTTGCAAAAAATAACGCTATATAATTAGCGCTATTTAAAATATATCTTGTATAGCATTTTCAAAGTGTTCTAATAGCAAAAGAATAAGCTTTTACAATTATCTCTAAATTAATACTACTTCCTTTTCTTCTTATCAATTACATTAAAAAAATTGGATAGATTAAATATATAATATGCTTTGTAGTATATTAAAAAAATAATATTTAGAAATGAACAATGATATTTAAAAATAATTCAAAATTACAATTTTTTAAATTAAAATCTCCAATATATGTAATATTTTCTTTATTTTTAAAGTTTTGCTGAGTTTTTAATATCCAACTTTGAGGGTTCATTTTTTTTTTTAATCGCAGTTGGTGTATGTTGCTTAAGTCTTAACCTTTTCCAAGTAAGTTTTTTCGTGTTTTTATGTAACATATATTTCAGATATACCTACTTATGATGTAATATGTCGATCACAATATTTTAAAAAAGATCGATGATCAATTTAATAAAAATAATACAATAAAAAAATTATAAAAGAATTAAGAAACTAACAATAAGTTTATTAAAAAAATTAAAAACTAATTCTAAAATTATTTAAAAAACAAAAAACATATATTTTCTTGTATCTTATTTTCTAATTGTCTTGCAATTTATATATATAAAATCTATATAAAATTATCTATATAAAATAATTTATGTAGATAAAACATTATAGAAACATGGTATATTTCAGCTTTTTCAAGCTTTAGCGTTTGGCAACAACAAAGAAGAACTTTTATTACATCTTCTAATTGTAATCATCATTCTTTTATACATGTTCTTAGCTAATTTAGCTGGACAAGAAGTCATGGATCACAATAATCATGTATTTTTTACTATGTAAGAAACAATTTTATATAGTGTTTTCTATTGCTTATATACAAGTATATATATACATATATATATACATATATATTTTGTGTGCGTAAATAGCATGCAAATATAAATACATAGTATATAATAAAATTAATAGATTTACATGTTCACGCATATAATTGTGCGTGTGTAAATCTATTAATTTTATTATATATTATATTTTTAAATTATGAATTGTCTATTTTTCTACAGATATAATACTCGCTGGTATTCAGCGCCGTTATCTATACAGAAACTGATATTATTTTTGTTACAAAGGGGTAGTAAAACTTTCAGTCTTACCATTGGCGGATTGTTTCCAACATCCTTAAGAGGTTTCGCCTCGGTAAAAAAAAACTTAAAAAAATATTATATATCAGAATATGTACACATCGCATAGGTAAAATAAAGGAAAATATATCGTTGCAGCTAGCAAGTGCATCAATATCTTACTTCACTGTCATATATTCTACACAACAATGACCTGAAGAAACATCATCTAATAGTATATATAGAAATTAAGTAGGTAAGTTCAAAAACAAATATCCCTCGCTAACTTCTCTAACTGTTCGATAAGTTATAAAAAATATTAATGTTTTTCTTTTTTTTTAATCGTAACGCTATCTAAAAATTAGAGAGGAAAGAATTAGTTGATTTACATATGTATGTACATGTAGTATCGATTATAGAATCGACATGACATCGATAGAACTATAGGTATTTTTCATGTAAATATAAACATAAAGCACAAAAATAAAACAGAAAGTAAATAATAATTAATGTACACAAATCTTATTTTTTATTTATTGCACTTCTTAAAAAATCGATAAATTGATTTTTTATATCTTAATAAAAATCTGTTTTTTCATGCATAATCATGTGTAAAAAGCATAAACCATGAAATGTCGAAGATTGATGAATGAACTGATGATTCTAATAATACAGAATATTATTATATATGGGCATAATATTTGCAGCGATATTATTAAATAAAGAAAAATATCATTACAACAATTTCATTCTAAGAAGTGGATAAAACCACAAAGGAGAAATAGGTACACAATATTTTTAACAATAGATTATCTAGATATAACAGTAAGTGTATTCACATTTGAGAAATAAAAACAGAAATATAGAGAAATTTAAAGAAGATAAATCCGAAGTCTGTAATATCTGATGTTGATGTATTTGGTACAATTAAATAAAAATACCTATATTATATAAATTATCTAGCATTTGCCATCCGTACAAAGATGAATAAATGTCTTAATATAATTTTTTTTTAAACAATTACAGTTTATAAATTTGAAAAGTGCGAGAAATAGTAAGACTTTATTCACTTTTCAATTAGAAGTTAATAATTAACTGTTCTTTAAAAAATTTTCAAATTCAAACCTTTTCTTATTAAATTTTATTTAATATATATCTTGTCTGTTATACATATTAAAATCAGTAATATTTTTAAATAGTTTTATCTTCTATAAACTGTAACTTTTATAATGTTCCACTTAAAACTTAATCCTAATATATATATATATATATATATATGTGTGTACTGTGTATCACTTATTGTTAGAATAATTCTCATATGTATATATAGTAGTACCAGTATATTCTCACATTAAATTATTATTAAATTATAATTTTAAACAGCTTTGTTAGACTGTAATTAAAAAATTTAGTGATACATATGTAAAATTAATTTTATCGATATTATTGATGTTATATTATTACTATTGTTATATGTACATATTAATTTTTCTCTTTTTTTTAGTTACATTGATTGTACATATACATTTTATTGTATAAAAAAATCTTTTATGCATGTACATTGATGATTTATAGTAAAGTTTATAGTAAAAGAAAACAGAAAATTTATAAAGTAAAAAATTTAGCTAAAAAGTAGATATCTCTCATGACCGGCTGTCGATACAAAATATTTCAAGACTGACTCACCGACCTATTACTTCTACATGAATAAATTGTTTTATTTTGGATGTTGGCGATACTGGTGTGCCTTGACAGATTAGGGGTTATACGCACTACGCAGCTACCATCCGGCATGTAAACAAAACTGTTTATGTAGTAACGGCAGGACAGCGGCGACGTGTGCGCAAAACGAAAATTATGCGGTAAAGAGATATCAGTCGGATGTCCCGAAACGGTGCCTTTTTTCCGAAATGTAAAATTATAAATGTAGCAAAGTGACAATATTGGCAAATACCGTTCTTCTCAGGAAAATGAAAGTAACGACGTTGAAGGGCATCTTTCCCGACCCCAGTAAGTAACATCACATATATTTTTTATTGGACAAATCGTTCAAAAACAATAAATAGATTTTATTTCACAAAATGCTACAGACAGAAAATGAATTGAAATTTGATCTCAAATGAGTGCACGAGAAGTAATTGATAACATGCTGTATCTCTTGTTTGTCGCTGTTAGAGCCAGTCAGAAGGAAGAATTTTATTCAGGAAAATGTGAAGAGTTTACGACGAATGGAACAATGCTTTCAAGCGAACAAGGAGGTGGAGGAGCTACAAAAGTTACAACTGAACAAGCATCACAAGAATACAGACAAGTATCAGAATATACCGGCAAAGGTGGTCTCTAGCTTTCGGGACAAGAAGAAACATGAAGGTTATAATGTTGATCGAGTGTCAAATGACAAGGTGGAAATTGACGAACAACCTCAGGACAAGAATAGGACCAATGTATTCGAGTACGATAGAAAGCGTACTGCTTCTACTAAAAAGGTTATTGAACCAGGAACGAATAATAATGTATCAAGCGAACAAAAGAGAACTGGCAAGCATAAGAGTCAGCAGAAATTGCAACCAAAGGTTTCGTCCGAACCAAATGTATTGCACAAATCTGATAATGCTGCAAACAATTTGGATACACAAAGCACTGTTAAGTACAGAAATCAGGGAATTCAGACTTTAGATACAGATCAATTAGAAACTATATACTCTGAAGGTGTTATTCGGTAAGTATATTTGGAGTTATATAAATTTTATATGCCTATTATGCATTTTAATATTATGAAAGTATTAACAATATGATAATATTAAATTAGACTGAAGTAAAACTAATTAAAAAGAATTTTGAAAATACAATTCTCAATACATTTGATTTAGTTTTATTTTTTTTTTCGGATTATTTTTTTAATTTTGTCTTTTTTATATAATTGACGTTTTTACTTTAAATAAGTTTAATTAATCTTCTAATTTATTAATATTATTTAATGTTAATGACAGAATTGATAGTGTTAGTAAGTGAGATTTGATCTATTTGATCTAATTTTTTTTATCTTTGTCAACAGATGTCCATCAAAGAAAGTTACAAAGCACGAAACGGCGAATAACGGCGATTTAAATAAACCACAAGAGAAGACCTTGAGGAAACAATCTGATTCTCCTACAGATAGAGGTGATATGCATGGTCTTGAAGACTTGCAAAAAGTCGATCTACGAAATTCCATGTCACCGGCGCTTAAAGAGGAGATTGATTTTATTAAATTGAATAAAGAACGCACTTCTGTTGCTAACAAGCTGATGACGCAACTTAACAATGGCGTGCCACCTTCGAATTATCGCAAGGGAATTGTGCCTAAGTATGATATTGCATCTTTTCTTCTCTAATTTTCCTCGACTTGAAACTAACTTTGTCTACTATCTTTTCTTATTTTTCAATCGACTTTTTTTTACACTATAGTACTTTTTTTGAAATATTTTACGTAGACATACTATGAAACTTAAAAATCTTTAGATTTTTTTTATACAGATAAATGCAAGTATTAAAAAATGTAGAAAATTTAATGCAATGTATTATAATAATAAAAGATGAGATATTAATTTGACTGATGTAAATATTATTAAATTAGAAGGCGAATTTAATTAATTTTTCTTTTTCTAATAATTTTTCAAATAGATATCTTCGAGAGAGAAAAGAAGCACAAGAAAAGGAGCAAAAGGCCAAAGCAGAAGCATTAAATTCTGACTGTCCAGAGGGTCACGTGCCTTTACCTGATCACGAACGCAAGGAGACGTTAAGATTATTAAAAAAAAGTGCGTATCTATGGTATAATAAAATCTAACAATAGCCATCATTATTTGCTTTAAATGTTTGATCATTCAAATTCACTGAATTGTGTTTCTGGAATGCAGATTATCAGGAATATGTCAACGAATTAAATATGATGCCCATAAAAACGGATACTCTTAGAGCACAGAGGCGCAAGATCGAGATAGAGAAGCAATTGAATAAACTGGAAGAGGGGATCAAAGTATTTTCACGTCCGAAAGTTTACGTGAAGATAAATGCATAGATTGAGTTCTGCAGAAGAAAGCAATGTGTATACGTTCATAAATGTTGATTGTCCATCCACGTTTCAATCCAAAATATCATATATTATTTCGAGAATCAAATGTGACAAACGATCGTATTTTGTTGTTGCAAAATGGCGAGAACTAGTTGTATATATTTCTCATTAAACTAGTCAATTTTACATATGGTACATATCTATATGAAAAATTGACTTGCTCGATTGACGTCTAGCATTAAAAAAAATTCTACAAACAGAGAGAAATACTATTGAGCTATTTTCATACAAGCACAGTCTAAATTTTGCTAGCAATTATGTAGATGGGAATATCTCCTATTAAAAATATAAATATTTTATTTAATAAATTAACGTTGTACATTAATTATTTTGTAATCCGTTCATTTTGTAAGTCTTGTCAATGGTGTGCACAAAGGACGCTGGATCGAAATGCAATCTTCCCAAGTTATAGAATATCTCCTCGTTGTCGTGCCACTGTTTTATATCAAAATTTTTAAAGAATATCATTATTTCCCTCTCTGCGGATTGTGCTGAATCTAGAGTGAATTAACGTTAATGTCTTTTTTTTTTCTTTTTAATACAAGGTTTTGCATTCCGTCGAGTATATACGGTATTGTGACTGATTACCAGATCCGTGGGTGGCATTTCTAGTATCCGACAGGCCGAACATTCCTCTGATGGTGTCCTGTGCATTGTATTGCGCCTGATAGACCTTAGTGGGGCCCATCAGTTGTCGCCATTTGGCGATAGCGTCGTGACGCGCCAATATGTGAATGTCAGACGGCCCGCTACACATGAAAGTCAACAGGCGGTTGTAAAAGAACTTGTTCTTGTGCTCCTTGTAAAACAGTTCGGCCTCCTCGCGAGAGATCATCGACCTGCGCGATCTGACAACTTTGAAATTATTGTCAATTATTAAATCGCGAATCTTCTGAAAAATCGAGTGCGAACTTCAGTCATTGGATCTTCCAAATCTCGTTCCCTCGACGCTAATCGACGTGGGATCGTGTAAGTTTCCACCTGTTATCCTGCGGATAACCTAACCTGCATTCTCGCTCCCATGAGCATGAGGAAGTGAGGTTAGGTTACGTACCTGGACGACAAACGGAGATTTGACGACGTGCGGCTTGAGTATCGCCAATGTCAACTGGAGATAATTTCTCGGCTGCATGTCGGCATTCTCGGCGGCTCATCTACGAATCGAACGAGCTACGGCGGCATCGATCGTTACCGCGCGTTACGACAGACGCCGAGGGACGCAAACATCACCACCACGTGTGTCTCATGTTACTCGCTTCGGAGTAACGCCGCGCGGCCACGCTCATTCATAACCGGACCGGAGCACGGAGACGGCCGATTCGTCTGACTGCAGCGACGACTTCTACCACTGGCTTTCACAAATATCGATTTTTCTTTTTTTTAATAATTTCTTCATTTATACAATGATATAATTGTATGATTATTGTTTAGATGATTATAATTTCTTCAATTTATACAAGTTAATATATTTGTACATTCTTTTTGTACTAATAACAACGATGGAAATTTCCTTTATACAATAGTATTTAATTCATTCCATTCGGTCCATGCCGTTAAAAGATAACAGCTTTTTAATTTCAACTTCTCGATTGTCACTGTATGTATATATACATTGTACATATTAATTATACAGTCATTCGTTGCCTTGCTATTATTATATTATTTTTTTTAAGATATCAGATATCACGTGGATTCACGTTTCATGTCGTATTTCAAGTATCATAAGTGATTTCGTTGTTTGCTGCGTGTTTCTTGATCAGATAATATCGATCGTAAATTTTAGGGACGTATAATGCAATAGCTAAGACAGAACCGTTGAACTATAAAAAGCAAACGTCTATCTATTTCCGACTGAAGACAGTTTCGGTGGCATTGAGATACTCTACTGCGTATCATCGTACCTAGACGTCGTTGGCCCGGTGAAGACACCGAGGCGAATGAGAGAGGCACTGCACGGATACGCAAATACGTACATTCGTGTGCGCTCGCGCAAGTAAAACGAAGTAAAGCGGAAAGAAGCGAGAGAGCATAAAGTAAAGTAGAATGGGAAACAATACGTAATGCCGCCGAGTTGCCAGTAGAGAAGCCAGCCAGCCACTATTCCCTCCCCCCTCGACCCCGCTCACCCGATCTTCTCGCACCCCTCGCAACCCGTCAGACCATATCCGCAACGGTCGATCCTACCTTCCCTTTCTCTCCTGTTGCTCATCCCGTTGCTACCCTCCTCCGCCGTCCGCGTCATCCTGTCTCTTTCCCTCCTTTCCGTTCCCTGGTATTCTCAGTGATACCGGGAGAGAGCCATTCGAAGTACAATGGCTGGCTATAAATTACCTCTGGAAACGCTAGCATTAGATCCTGCCGGATTCACCCTTTATATACAAAGCCGCCGCTCGCGAGAGGGAGAGAGCTTAATTGAGCGACCTCGATATAGAAATCGCGATACGAATCATGGACTATTCGAGTCGTGTCCTCGAGAGTTTCATGTCATTTGAGACTGGTGTCAGTGAGAGGTTTTCTCTCTCTCTCTCTCTCTCTCTCTCTTTTTCTGCCTGTTTGTGTGCATCCTAAAATAATTCGGATCTAACATGATTGTATAGGAAAGAAAACTGCTTGGAAAAAATAAAAACACGTCATACATATAAAGAATTCAATAGTTTATAACTTGCATGCTTTTTATCATTGTACAACTTGTTAGTTCTAGCAATACAAAAAAAAGATTGCATGTTATGATCATCATTGGCCTGTTTCGTGAATATAATTGTGTTAAACAATATATGCAGTTATTGTAGAAGATTTAAAAGAAGGCCGAATATTATTTTTTGCTCTATACCTTTAAAATTATATTATAAAATATTTTATAAGATTATTTCACCGTTTTATTAATCATGAAGCTACAATTGTTTACATAAATATTTCGTAAAATCCAGAAATTTTTATTTTTTCCGAAACAGTCTTTTGCTCTTATTCTCTGTTCCGATCTTTATATATAGAAATCTCTACAGAAATTTTTAGTTTTATTGTAAATGTAAAAATTTAGTTTAATTTTTACGAATTTTAAGATGAAAAATAGCGAAGAAACAGAGCTTCGAATCTTTTTCTACGGATTCCCACAGCTCGATTTTCTTTTTATTTTGCAATACGAGCGCTGTTGTGTTCTATCCATCGGAAAAAATTTCGTGCCTTTCGGATTGATTTATTGCAACTAATTCCTGCCTGAATGGTAATCGCGTATTGCGTCCACTCCGCGGTTGGTCTCGTCGTTAAACTCACGCGCACGTGTCCACGTATTTACACACATACATAGGCAAGCAAATGTAACGAGAACGAGCGCGCGAGCGAGTGACAAATTACGAATAAAATATTGATTCGCCCGTTGCACCGCCGGTTTGTCGGCGCGAGCGTTACGCCGAATTAATGTACCAGCGTATATAATTGCACTACCGTTCGTATTAATTACCCGTTCGTAAGCTGCGTCAATCTCGAATTGCAGCAACATCGGCCGTACCTCGATTATTCCAACAAACTGTATCCGCGAGAACAGTCCTCGTTATATCCTCTTTTCCCGAAACGCATATTTCGATTTCATTAAAATTGACTGTTTACCGGCAAAGATGCAGTAAGACGAAGATTCTTCTAATCAATTGTTTAAGTTAGTAAAAGTTTAATTGTGTCATTCGTATAATTAATTAATTTAATACCTAAATGTCGTTTGTTTTATTGATTTTTAAGTTTCAGTATTTCGAAATGCTCGTTTTTACTTCATAATATTGTGATACAAGAAAACATTCTCTCTGTCAAAATGTTTTCCTTCAATATTCTATGTATAATATATTCTTTTAGAAGTTTTGATTGAAGGAATAACTTTTATTGAATCACTAAGAAACAACGAAGATAAATGTGTCACATAAATTAAAAATTATTTGTGAATCTTATAGAAAAATTCACGTTGTAAATCTCACGTTTAAAGTAATAGTTTCGATACAAATTTTAGATGCAAATTTGCAAATGGAATCTGGAAAGAGCCCTGCTAGCTTAAACAAATCGTCCATCACATTATCACCGCGGTTATCACTGATACTCGCGATGTATCGCCGGATTATCCGGCTCGTTGACCGCGCAGCTATGGTGGCGAACGGACGATTCATTGAATAAAAGAATACAAATGAGATCGCGGAAAGTTTCAAATCGAATTCCGGTGGAAGTTTTACGAGCGGATTGTCCGTAAAAACGGCGAATCGTGTTTCGTGTTTTCCCAACCTCTTTTCTCTCGGCTGGACCAGTTCTGGGTCGCTTCAATCTCTCTTCTGGGTCTCTCTGTTTTCTCTCTCTCTCTCTCTCTCTCTCTCTCTCTCGCTCTCTTTCTTTTTAGTTTTCTTTTATCTTCCACTCCTTTTCTGCGGTTACACGACGATAAACGACAACAAACAGCTTCTTTCGGCCTCTCGGAAAAACAACTTTAATCGCCTCTACCCTGCGCGGTTTGGCGCTTGTTACCGAAAAGTGGGACTTTTCGAAGAGAAAAAGCGAAGAGCGTGGCTGAATAAAGCGTAGCGAATGGAGAAACAACTTGAAATTAATACAGGAAATAACTATGAAATTGAAGAAATGTACGAGCTTAAAGAGAAAGGCTAAAGAGTATAAGTGGTAGCGGTGGTAGAAAATTTATCCGAAGTCTGAGACAGACTAAATGAATTTATACAAGGAATTCATTCCGCGTAAATTGTAATTCTTTTAACTTCAAATATACTCTCTAAATTTTTGAAAATATTTTTTGCCTTACCTTCAGTAAGAATATTTCAAAGTCATACAGTTTACTTTTACATCAAATATGCGCACAAATATTTATTACGCTGAAGAAAGCGGTTGAGGAGTCAAAAGTTAAAAGGAAGATCTCCTTAGAAAGTTTATTCGCTACGGGCGAATCTTCTCCAGTAACTTTAACCGTGAACTTTCGCCGGAATGTTTTTCCACAGCTGCGAGGAATCGTTCTCGAAGCGTTTTTAAATAAGTTCGGCGAATTACTGGCAATCAGACTGGAATTATTTTTTATTGAAACTATAATGGCGTAATTCTGAAAATATATAACGACATAAACTCTTTTTTTCAGAAACCTCCATCATCTAAGTCATAACGGTTTCAAACGAAGAAAGAATTTTCCTTGAAATTTTTCTTAAATAAGTTCTATATAATTTCGGATTATTAAAAACTCAGAATTAACTAATTTATCAATTATGTACATTTTTCTCAATTTTAGATTAATCCTTTTATGATATTTGATTAGCTTATTACTTTTTTTCAAAAAATTTCATTTGATTTATCACCCTTCCCGCTGACCTCGAGGAAGCATGTTTCTTTATACATATAAGGATAATATACAAAAATATATCTTATCCTTAAAATATATATCTATATTACTCTATATTACATTCATATTACTCTTATTTTTATTATTTATTGAAACATCATTTTTTTAAATTTTATTAAATTATTATTAAAATATATTGTACTGAACAAAAAATGTCTTTTTTCAGCTGTAAAGTGTTTTTTTAGATTTCTAAATTGATAATTTTGTCATATCATGTCATGTATCATTGCCGTTTTTTGTGAACTTAATTTCGGTGGTTGATATAAGTGGTAGGGGCATTACAGCCTTTCACAACGGGGTGCTAAGTTACGCCAGCTGTCGTAAGGAGGGTGTGGAAATCAGGGACGACGAGCGAACCGGGGGGAAACTTAATTCGCCGCCGACACACCGCTAAATCTGAACGACTCAGGCCGGATTCGCCAAAGATTTCGTCCTTTCCCGAATTCTCGCTCACGAAGGGCGCATCTCCGGCCTGAGAACGCCACTTACTCATTCCGTTCCCTCCCTTTGAGGTCACTTTACTCCAACTCTCTCCATCGTTCATTAGCACTCCCTCCCATTTCCTGCCTCTTATTCCTACACCTTCAGAAATGCAGCTAATTCAGATAATCTTCTATCCTATTTCTAGTCCTTTATTCAGCAGCAGGACTATTAAATTCTTATCCATTCTTGAAACATTTGTTATTTCTCGAATCAACGTAAGAAATATATATGAGTCAGGAGCCCAGTAATTAATATGGCAGTATCATAAAAAATCTTGCTTCTAATAAAAAATCTTTTACAATAAATATTCGAATTTTCTAATTTATGCCATCTTGCGAAAGCAATTCTATTCAGTTAAGGCGTGAAACGTTCAATATTATTCTAATAATCTCTTTTCCTATCGCGCCTTCTGTTTTCAGCTTTGTTTCAAATTTTTCGGTGCTGATACCACTGTCTCTCTTCCTTTGAGCCGGGTTAATCCAGACGCCTTCGTAAAGCTTCAAACGATCCTTAGGATTCCACCCTGCCTCTCTCGCACGTTGCTGGCGAATTAAATTTCGTCCTTGCGCTTTTCTC